TCTATGGCTTTTTCCCTCCCACACAGCGATGTTTCCCACAGCAAAGGTTAATCCGGAACGGATTAACCTCGCTGTGCGGGGCACCACTGTATATGATTGCAAAGGGAAATTGCTTAAGTCTCAGTGACAAACTGCTGCTCCTTGTTAAGATATTGGTGGCGCTCTTAAATATGTGTTTGATCATGTGTCTGGCATATGGCTAGGAATAGTGGCAGCACCTTGCTAATGAGCAGCAATTTGCCATCAAGAGTTATATGATGTCCCTTACGCAAATGTGAATTAGCAACAAGACTCTGGTCCATATGTTTAGATACTGCTTCCCACAATAAAAGCAAACCAATATACTTGCTTATTCCTCCTTTGGGAAGTTCAAATAAAACTTGTTATTTGAAAAGGTAATGTCTAAAGACTGCTAAAGCTTAGTATAACTTAAAAAAAAACCTTAACAGGTCCACATGATCAGAAAATAATTGTAACAATATGTTTGTGGTAACATGTAGATACATTTCTTAGTATGTTAATATATACATTTGCATTAAGATCAGTGGTCACCGTTTGTTCGCAAGTAATTAGAGATCTAGATACTTTGAAAGAGTAGATCTCGGAAGTGCCGAGTTCAATTCCGTACTGGTACTATCTTGCCTTTCCAGAGGGATCAAGGTGCATTACATTTAAAGAGAACCAACATGTAAAATACTAAATAAGCTTGCTCTTCTTCAACTTTTATGATTAATAAAATTAAAATCTAACCCAGTGATAATACTACGACTCCACTAGTTTCTCCATTTTTCACTGATTTTTTGGAAAGAGCATCTGGTTTGCATCCCAATGATCCTCAACAAAGCAATAAAAATAATAATCAATGCACCATTTAGACAGGATATTAGGATGAGAGACAATATGGGGAAGCATAATCTACTCTGTGGCATTAGGTTCAAATTACAACAATGCAGAAAAAACCACTGTTACCTACTTTCCCCTACAACTGACATTTTCAAAAGAAAAATTTTAAAAATATTGTAAGAACTATAAGCAGGGATAGAACAGAAGAAACAAGAGGTTTTGTGCGGTAATTCAGTATCAGGCCAAGTGTGTCCATTCTAAAATTAAACCATTTGTTTGGAGATAGTCTTGGGGTATTTGCTTTTTTCTTTCAGCTGTGAGAAACAAATCCTGGCAGGTATTTAAAAAATAATGACCCAATAATATTTAATTTCAATATTTCATTGCAAAAGAGCAATCTGCATTTGGATAATCAGGAAGTCCTTAAGTTATGTATGAACACCACTTCCATTAGTTCAAGATTATTTATTTATTTTTATTTAAAATATTTTTACCCCACCTTTCTCCTGAAAAAGGACAGATATGAAAAGGAATCAAATACCACACTAAAAATGGTCTTCTCGGGAATAGGCACAGCTGATGGGCTAGTTTTAACTTTGAAAATATACTTCTGGCCACTGCCAAAAGCTGGGCATCCAGGTGCAAGAGATGAATCGAGAACTCCCAAGCTGCACACCTGTGTTTTCAGAGGGAGTATAACTCAATCCAGCACAGGCTGCATCCCTATTCCTTGAGCTGCCTTTCGGCTGACAAGGAGGACCTCTGTCTTGTATGGTTTATGTTTCAGTTTATTCACTCTCATCCAGTCAATATAGTACATCCAGTCCATTACTGACACCAGATACTGATATGGAACTGAAACAGCTTCACTGGATTTAGAGGGAAAGGAGAGACAGAGTTGTATATCATCTGCTACTGGTGACACTGAACCCTGAAACTCTTAGCATTTGAGCCTGAATTCAAAATAAATTGTTCTGAATATACATTGACTGCTCTCTGTCCGTGAGATCTGTTTATGATATTCACCGGCATAGTATTAGCAGAATGTAGCTGGATTAGATTCAGATGAAAGAGTGAAAACTGGTGAAAGAAATACCTATAATTTAAACTATTTAAAATATGAAAATAACACTCTATTCATCACAGGGAGAGCATGTGGGAGGGTTCTCTTTTATATATACAATAATGTACCACATACCTGAAATGGGTATTGATTTTAACACTGAGATGAACTTCTGGATCAGTTGTGACAGAAATCTTCTTTCTTGATATGCCCTTTAGAAGGTTGTGCAATTAATATTTGCCATAAACAGTAATTTAATCACCTTCCTATTAAATAAGCAGGTCTCCAATGAAAACGGGTGGGGTAGGGGAATAATTATTCAGTAAAAACCTAGGAAACTCTTTGACTCTTGAATCTACATATTGAGCTCTTCAACAGATTTCTGGGGTTAAGAAACGTAGCAGTCAAAATGAACTATTGTTAACAGAGATTCCCACTGCATTTTGAAAGAATTCTTCTTCAGGTTGACTACATCTGTTGACTACATCTGTAAACGGCATGACAATTTTCACACTACTCTGAAAATAAGCAAATAACACAGTACACACATGGGCTGACCTTAGTGGAAAAGCACTAACATGGAGGCATTTGAAAGGCTAGATACTATACATTTCTTTTAAAATTCCAGGAGGCAAGTTAGAAGCGATTCATCAAATTCCACTTAAGTAATTCTCACCTTGCAGATCCTTTACCAATGTAGTCAAAAGAAGCTCCATCATCTGTGATAATTATCACAGATCACTCTCCATTTAACACATAAGAACTGGATGCATAAGCCATATATGCCACTATAATAATAATCATGTGAATTATGACTTATGGTGACCCTTTTCATGCTTTTCCAGGTAGGGAATACTCATAAGTGGCTTACTATTCCCTTCTTCTGGGGTCACCCTGCAGCTTGCCCAAGGCCACATAGGCTGGCCAGATACCTAAACCACTGAGCTATTCAGTCAGCTGTACCACTATATTCACATGCATGAGTATCTGATGGAACAACTGCATCATACCGTATCCAACAGCAGATATAATATTCTGTCCCATCTGGTTGAAAGTGAGAACCCAAGTGGAACATACTTCTCAAGTCTTACAGAGAGGTTTAGAGGAATTGAAGGTTTAGTCTTCCTCAGCTGCTGCATGAGAATGACCTAAAAAATTAGCAAAAAGCAAAGTGTGCTGCTTATATACCACCCCATAGTGCTTCAAGCACTCACTGGGTGGTTTACAAGTTAATTATGCAAGCTACGCATTGCCCCCCAGCAAGCTGGGTACTCATTTTACCAACCTCGGAAGGATATAAGGCTAAGTCAACCTTGAGCTGGCTACCTGGGATTGAGCACAGTTTTGGCTTCAATACAGCAGTTTAACCACTGCGCCACGAGGCTTCACTTACGTTTTTGCTGACTCCCAGTAGCATAGGACACAAATGGGCCCCTGCTCATGAGAGCTGTTCTTCACAGTACACAAACATGTGCACCAGATTTTAGACATAATAAATGGCTACTGTTGAACATACTGTGCCTTTGTATTTTCATCCATTTTGTCATCATTCTTCTTGATCAAATTCCAAAATTTTCTAAGCTTTGGTGTCTTTTTCAGTTCAAGTTCTAGACGAGCCTAAAATGGAATACATTCAGTTTTTCAGAATACAGTTAAGTCTTTTGTGTTTTCATTCATATATTGAGTGAACTATATTGTCCTAACAACAGTTTTAAGAAAAATAATTGAGCAGACTAAGAGCATATACTTGGTCATCATAGGTGTTAGAAAGATATATGTAAGAATAAGACGGTTTACAAGAAATCCCAAAATTGCTAATAGGGGAACACAAATATCCTTGAAAGGATATTATGAGACAGCAATTCTTCAGGGTGAAAGAAAACCACTTTATGAATTAAAACACAGAGAGATCTATAGTAAAATCCTGGAAGTTTAAGCATCCCCAAGGATATACAGCACACTTGCAAACAAAACGAAACAAAATAACCAACACTATCAGCAGGAAGTTTTCTTCTTGTGCATCAAGTCACAGATATGAACTCCTATTTAAAACTCTGTGTAACATAACAGAAGACCTTTGGTTTCTTTATCTAGAAACACTTACAGGCTGCAGGGCCATCCACATTGGCAGGGAGATGAGTTGCTGGATTTGCCCTCTGATCAAATCTACTTCCTGTCACAAGAAATTAAATAAGTGATTAGGGTACTTTACGTAAGCTTGGTGCTTATACAGATGGGGAACAGCAGGCATTGCTTTTTGAAGAAGAAAGGGGTGGGGTGATTACAGACAGCTCCCTCTTCTGAGGTACCCTCATCTTACCATTTTCCATGCTCTTTCAAAAAGGGACATGCAAAGCTCCAGTCTATGACCAGAAGCCAGCTTGTGGGAGCAATAAAGTATAACACAGGTATACAAAGTACAATCTACCATGCCAAATGCACACCAACACCCTAGTATTGCAACTTGACAGTATTTACACAGAGTAATCAAGCAAATGGATGTTTACTGAGACACTGCTGTGAGAACTTATGAGACAGCCCTCTGGTTTCTCTGCCCCGTCTCATCCAGGTGCTGCCTCTGAGTGGGTGCCCGCCAGAGAAGGTGGGGCTGGGAAGCGCTAAACACCTGTTCAGCCAATAAATGAACATGCATGAATCACTAAACCAGCAGTTCATGCTTATCTCTAGTAGACACTAATATTCTGGGGGTCAAAAATACCACATATTTCAACAAAGTAGCATCACAGCAAATAATCTTACCAAACTATTAAAGCAGTGATCAAGGAAGAGGAGAAGTATGGTTTGCTCTTGAAGAGAAAACTGGCAGTCATTCTCAGCCAAGGAAGCTTCCAGCACACGTTTGAAAAAGAACGGGAAGTGCTCTGGCTTTTTTTTGAAGGTCTAGGCAGAAAACGAGATCAAGTCAGCTCAGATGGAACATCTTTTTGTGAAACAGAAAGACAAGGAAAGAGATACAAGCCTTGTTTGCACCGTGATGTCCACACACTGACTGAAGGCCTGGAAGGGGAGTGTTTCTGTTGGGCACCTTGCTGCCCCCCTCTGCCTACAGTGTAAAGATGGGATCATGCTCTGTGTACCATACACTTTTCATGCAACTGGGAAACTGTTGCAATGAGGATTCCCAACAGCACACACAATTACAAATGCACAAAATAAGTCATCGTTGTTTAGTCATGTCCGACTCTTCGTGACCCCATGGACCAGAGCATGCCAGGCTCTCCTATCTTCCACTGCCTGCCATAGTTGTGTCAATTTCATGTTGGTTGCTTCGCAGACGCTGTCCGGCCATCTCATCCTCTGTCATCCCCTTCTTCTCCTGCCGTCACACTTTCCTAACATCAAGGTCTTTCCCAAGGAGTCCTCTCTTCTCATGAGATGGCCAAAGTACTGGAGCCTCAGCTTCAGGATCTGCCTCAGCTTCAGGATCTGTACTCAACTTCTATTGAAGAGCTGGGGGCAGCAGCAGGACCACCAGATGCACCAAGGCTAGACTATGCATTCAGACTGCACTCAACATCACTTTATATATTCAGGATAAATAACAAAGTTTTAGTGCAAAAGGAATTAAAGCTACTTAAGACTGAAGCATAAGCAGAAAACACTGTACAAACGGACAAGTACTGTAATTTCACAGGAGCAAATTTCCTGGCAAACAACCTGATCATGATCATCCTCCCTCCCTTCCCACTGAGATTTAAAGTCCTCTGTACAACACTATGCTATTGTAAAACAATGCTATGACATCTAGAAGTTGTCAACATTTACAAATGGGTCATCTAAGGTACCCTCTGAAGTGTATGGCTGTGTGAGCGTACGCGACTCCACCCCCTCCACGCAGCTTTCCTCCTCCTCCACGCCTCCACTGTGAATTATTCCAGTCCTTTTGGGTCTGATCATGGCGGAAGCCCATGCAGGGGGCGGAGCTGCACACAAGAGGGGCAGAAAGCCCTGCCCAGCCAGGGTGAAAATTTGAGGGAACGCTGGCTGGAACCAACAAAAAAAATACTGCTGCTGTAACTTCTGTGTTCCACGCTAAGCAACTGGTAGTATCTGTGTTTCCTGATGAGCAATTTAGCTAAGATCAGATTTCTGAAACTAAAAAATATATACAACAAAGCAAACTGATATACTACGGCAGATCATAAAAGAGATTGTTTTTTATCATTAAGATAAAAGCAAAAGTCAGACTAGTTAATATTTCTATTTTAATAAATAGAAAATAACTGGGAAATGCTTGAATATACTACAGGTACACTTAAGGAATAACCACATTTTTCTTACTGTGAAGTTTGTCAGTGGTGGCAAAGCAGCATGGTAACAGTTACTTGACTTGCTAAACCCCCACTGATCCCATGGGCCTACTCTAGTGCAATTCATCACATTAAGGAACAGAATTTTTATTTTAAGTCTTAAAACTACAGAAGTGGAAGGGATTCTATGGCTCGTCCAGTCCCTCTCAAGGAGGCACACTGGGTAATTGAACTCCCAACCTCTGGATCCACAGCCCCCCTCACTTCAGCATGGATGCTCAAACATTTTCAAGAGTTTAAAGAACGGAGAAGGGAATGAAAGTTTAATTTTGTTTTTCAGCCCAACATAGTCTGAATAAAAATCGCCTCCCTGAAGCTGCTATTTGCATTTCTAGAGAATCCTCCACTGATGTCTATAGATACATGCGCTGAAATGCAGTTTCAGAAATGCTGTTTCATGGTAGTGAAGACCAGGTAAGAGGGAGGTTGCTTCAGGCTGCAGAGGAGAACCAAAAAAGAGCACCACCAGAAGGAGAAAAGGAAGGCCTCAAGCATTCTGCTGAGAAACCAGCCCGATCAGGCTTCTTTTACCCCTCAGCTATAATCTTGCAGCAGAAAATTCATCAGAGGAAGAGATAAGAAGCAAGACTACTTTACCACTGCTCCTAGTGGAGCAACAACGTTCAATTCTTTCTCTCCCTGAATCACTGAATCATCTCAGTTCAGAGAGTGGCAACTTAATCCTGCTGCCCAAGTTTGATTTTTTTTGTCTCTTTAACCAATCATCTCCTTTTGTGCCATGTTTTACCAACTACAAGCCTGAATACACGGCCAGTTCTATTAGTCATCTTTGTCAGCTCACACTGGGAGACTTTTCCAATTGATGTGGATGTAAATACAATAACAGTTTGCCCCTGAGTAGAAAATAAGAGTCCACTGGAAAAAAGCAGAAGTTTTAAAAGTAGTATTCAAGATGATGGTTACACACACACAGTTACCACTCTCCCTACTCTTCCTGTGTGTCTTGGACTAACTATATACACACATATACACACACACACACAGTTACCACTCTCTCTACTCATCCTGTGTGTCTTGGACTAAATGCACTGGTACAGAAACTTTTACACTCTTCCCGAGTGTAAAGGCAGCCTTCAGATGAAGTTGCTTTTCCTTTTCAAGTGAAGGCTTTTAACTGAAATGAACATTTTCATACCCTTATCTTTAAACAACATAATAGCTCCATGACTAAATGCTAAACTTTGTCTGGAAACAACAGAAGAAAACCACTCAAATCAATGAAACAATCTGTTTCATACTGTTCACAAATATGAAACTTCACAACTGTCCACTGCTGTCCTCTAACAGAAGCACACTGCTGTTGGAAAGCTATGGAAGATAACTTCAGATGAAACACAATGATAGCCAGGACCGAACTTTTTGACACCTCATGACCAGTGGACAATGTGAAAATTGCTGTTGGCTATAACTGAAGTCTTATTACCTCCCACGCTGGAACGTTCTCTCTGAACTTTTCATTCACCATGCAGCAGACTGACATCACATAAGCTTTACTGGACGCCTCTGGAGAATAGTTCACCCACAAGTAATTTTCAAGGTACTGGCTGTGAACAGCAAAAAAGAGAATTACAATCCATCTAATGTGTCACACATCAGGGGAGCAGAAGGACAATTACCAACCCTTTTTAAAAACACCAGTCCATTCATGAGTTGCTTTCAATGTTAGCTCACCAATGGAAGTCATGGCAGTAAAACATACTCAGGCCACTGAAATCAATCTGAAAGCACATGGCAGAAGAATAAGCCATCTGCAAGGCTCTGCTCATTAAAGAAGTATTGCATGCACTTTGTAGAAGCATTATATTAGACTGAACTAATTGATGCTGATTGTAGAAAGGGAAAGAGGAGATGCATCCAATCTACTTGGGAGATGCACCTCGACAGACACTTGTCTTACTGCTCAAAGACAAAAGCCTGCTGCTTTCTCAGAGACAGCAAACATGTTCACAGAAGTCATTATTATGCCAAATAAAACATGAGTGATGAAAAACGATTTCAGCAGCACAAATACATACAAACACATTAAAATGTCTGCAAGAAGACTTAGCTCCACAATGTTCATCTAAAAGTATAAATATTAAGTTGTTCTGGATGTTCAATCTGTAGCGGCCCGAACCTCGTTTAGTTTCAATGTCCTTAAAAGCTCTTCTCTCTCTGTTGCACACACGTAATTATACAATGACAATAAACACATTGCAAAGCTTAAGTGACAGCAAAATGATGCATAAGAATGGCCAACTTTACCAAATATATGAATTCAGATACCACAGTGGAAGGCTAATTTCATTACATTAGTCCTATCATTTTATAAACTTTAAAACTTCCTACCCCATGCTTCACGTTCAAAGTACTGTATGCGGTAGAGAGGGATCTGCATGCGAGCTCTGCCCCCTGAAAGGCTCAACATCCCAACGCACTAAGGCAGAAAAGTGTGTTCCTTATATGTATACTTCCCTATAGCACTTAAAGTGTTCTCTGGGTGGTTTACAATTTAATCATGATCATCATCTTAACATCTTAGACCTGCAGAGTGGAAGGGAGCCTATGGCTCAGTGAGTCCAGCCTTTCTCAAGGAGGACCAGCAGGGAATCAAACTCCCAAGTTCTGGCTCTGCAATCAGAGACCTAATTACACAAGCTACACATTTTCCACACAGACACTGCCCCACGAGCCAGGTATTCATTTTACTGACCTTAGTCAAACTTGAGCACATACGGATGGAACTCAGGAGGTCTTGACTGCAGTTTAACTACTGCACCATGAGGCTCCTCAATATGCAAACATAAGGTCTGCAAAGAACTCTATAACCACAATCAGCTGAATGCAGCTATTCACTTGCCACGATCACAGACTTCAACCACATACATGCTGTAACCATATATACAATATAGTCAAACCCAGCATCCAACCCACTTCCAGGACAGGGGGACTGAAGTGCATGCACATCCTGCATGCACATCCTATCCATACTCTAAGCCAGACTTTGGCAAAGTGCGGCCCGAGGGCCACATACGGCCCGTGAACCGCTCCTGTCCGGCCCGTGGACAGTTTTGAACATCAAAACCATTTATACTTTTTGTCTAAAGTTGATCAGTTGCTTATCTTTAACATACTGCAAAAAACCTCTTTAGTATTTGTGAAGATTAACGTTTAAAATAAAAAAAATTATAACATCACTGTTTCATTCTATTTTTAAGTAAAGTTGGTTCGCCCCCGAACACAGTTCAGATTTTTCATGTAGCCCCCTATAGAAATTAATTGCCCACCCCTGCTCTAAGCTGTAGATGTTTTCAAGCAAACACATGGCTTCTGCAGTATGAGATGATTTTCTAGCTAGTCTTGTAAGTCTTAGGCATATACCTGTCTACTACAAAGCTTCTGCTGCTAGCTGCTATGGATCTCACCACCACCAAACAGGACTGGCCTGGAGATCCTGTTCCTATTTTTAAGGGATTTTAGTTTTCTTTCACTGAGTAATAAAAAAAACCCCACATACCACTTTTCTCTACATCATCTTATGGCTTGATTTTTAACCAGAAAAAAACCCTTTTCTATATAAAGACTACGTATGTCAAGGCTTCTTTGGGCTATTACTACCAATGTTTTCCCGGGGCACATCCAACTGCCTCATCATCTGTGCTCGCATCCTCCTTCCTTGATTATTAATTTCAAAAGAATTGCTTCAAGCAACTGAGACTTTATTAGGAAAAGGATGTACAAAACCTTCCGATATATTTTATTTTTAAAACTGCAGAGTCTAAGCTCACATTCCTCACCACTGAAAAGCAATGAAGAGACACTGCTGGAGACTTAAGTTTCATCATAGGTTCATAAGAACTCAACAAGGTCTTCTTGGTACTTGGTAATTTGGTAATAATACCATGTTATATCTCCTACAGAGCAACCTCCCCTCACTTCGTGCCTTCCACTTATGGCGGACTCCGAAGCAGCAAAACCATGCTATCGGTAGATAATGGATTTCATTATGCAATACATTTGGAAGATGCAGGTTTGGGAAATGCCTCTATAAGGTTGACTATAGGGATTACACTCCATCACATCACCAAGTAAAGAAATCAATCATAGTGTCTCACACAACCATGTTATGGGATTTCATTCTTAATTTAACCATTAAACAGTCTACCTGATTTCAGATGATATAAAATGTTTCTCATAACTAGCCTACAAAGTACAGTGGTGCCTTGCATTACGATGTTAATTTGTTCCAGCGAAATCACTGTAGAATGAAAACATCGTAAAGTGAAATTAAAAAGCCCATAGAAATGCATTAAAACCTGATTAATGCGTTCCTATGGGCTTGAAACTCTCCGTACAGCAAAGATCCTCCATAGCACGGCCATTTTCGCTGCCCGTGCAGCAAGGAATCCGTCCCAGAAAAGAGCAGGGAGCCATTTTTCTTTTACCTTGCGGCCATTTTGAAACCACTGATCAGCTGGCCGAAAATCGTCGTTTTGCGAGAATTGGTTCCCGAAGCAGGGAACCGATCATCGCAAAGTGAAATTCTCCCATAGGAAACATCGTTTTGTGATCGCTTTTTGGATCGCAAAAACTTCATCGCAATGCGATTTCGTCATTAAACGGGGCGCTCATCTTGTGAGGCACCACCGTATATTTTGTTTCATCATCTTTAAATTACAGATGGAGGATACACAAATCGGGCTGAGATACAGTTGCTCATCAAAGACCATTACTGAGTATTTTGCCAAAGGAAGGTTTTGCTCCAGGAACTTTTCAGCTCACACCAAGCCATGAAATTACACCAGCTGTCCTTATACTCAGATTCTAAACAGTAGCTCTTGTGCAAATGCACTTACCTAAACTCAAGTAGCATAATTTTCCTTATAGCAAACCTGAAATCAAAGAAAAGGCAACAACAGCAATTAAACACTAGCTCATTTAAATTAGTTTCCTAGAGACTATATTTCCAAACACTTTAATTAATCCTAAAGGTGTCTGAGGTTGCTAACAGGAGTGCCCAAAGTTAAGTACCCTGAGTTTTGCAGGATGCTGGACTGAGTGGTGTTCCTTCAGGTGGCAGATGGTCTCCTCTTCAGACTGCTGCTCTCCATGCAAAGAGAGCAATGACAGGAAGACTAGCCCACTTCCCCCTCCACATGTCTTTATCTGACCCCATTCTGAATTACTGATTAGGCTCAAATGTCGTGATGGATTTTTAAACAGGTAAATCAATCTGAGCCCCAAAGGTGTCCAAATAATTAGCAAGACATGTCACACAAGAAAAATATACATAGCCCAGAATTCACTATTTTAGGAGACGTCTAAAATTTAGCATCTGTAATTTGTGATAATCTGACAACACATATCACAAGGATTGACATTGCTACTGTGTTTTTAGACAGTTCAAAACATGTTAAATTTTTCAAAATGAGTTTGGATACTTTATTCAATGTAACTGTAATACAAATAATGCAGAATACTTACTTTGACTTAACAATTTCTTTTTCATACACATCTTCAATAACCTATAAGAACAAAGAAATATTTGGATTGTTTAGCTACTAAAATTATTGCTTTAATAAGACACATTCCTCTTTTTCTACTGCACAAAGTGCTCTAGAAACAGGCTAAAAGCACATTCCTAAAACTACAATAATACATGTTAACATTTTCATACAATTCCAATCACAGCAATTTACCAGGCTATGCTATGAAAATGTATACATAAACATAGAGATGGGATATTTGTATTCGTCTTCGGGGATGGGGGTGGGGGAGAGAGAGATGAATACAAATATCACCACCACAGATGGCTGGGGCTTTTGGACCCTCCCCCCAGAACCAGGTGATCCAATCAACACTTGCGGTGCAATGCACGTGGCCATCATTGTTCATGATGACCAATTGCAGGGGCTTCCCTACCTCACTGCACTGCTGACCATTCAGCAGCTGACAAGGGAGACTCGTCATCCTGCCTCCTTGCAGGATTGGTCAACAGCACAGGGAGCTAGGGAAGTCCCAGGCTACTTCCACGATTGGTGCAGCACACACAACAACAGCTCTGTGTACTGCGCCGAAAGTTGTAAGTGAATGGCCCAGCTCGGTTATGTGTTTGTATGGAGAGATCCAATGAGCCCGACCACCTGTGGTGGCGATATTTGTATGTTTCCCTGGGAGATGAATACGAATATCCCATCTCTAATTAATAATGAAATTGATTTCATCTTTAAAAAACCTGTTGCCATTATCAAGTATCCACATTCACAAACAATAATAAAAATGGAATTTAAAGACTACAATGCATTATTTCAAAATCAATATCTAAGCTAAGGAAGTTTCCATTCTTTATTTCGAAATAACACACACACACACAATCAGAAAAGTATTTCTACTATTTTTGTTATTTATTTACTCCCTGCATTAAGACAGAACCCCTAAACAACATATTAAGTAATTACCTTTGACTCGAAAGGTAGCTTTTTCTTGACATGTGGTGCCCAATACTTATTTGCCAACTGCAAAATAAAAGACCATTTCATTACGACATATATATAGACAGTCTCAAAAGCTATATCCATATGGCCTCCATTATGTTGAACAATACAATAATTGTTCAATATTTACATGCATTTACATTTACAATTGCCACTGTGCACGACACTGAGAGTGAAATGCTAAAAACCAGTGGTGGCTTTCTCTGAGCAAGTACCCTGCAAGCAAGCCTACTTCTTTATTACTGTTTATAACTTCACATCTTCCTTCTCCAATGAACTCAAGGAAACATATATATCTCTTCTCCCTCTGCACTTGATCATCATAACCATCCTATAACCACAGAAGGGAAGTGTGAGGGAATATGACTGGCCCATGATCATCTGAAGACTTTCACAGTTCAGCATCAAATTAGGTGTCAATCTCCCAAATATCAGTCCAACACCATTACCATTAGAACACACCAGCCCCCCAATTTTGTAAGGAGCTGAAGTTTTTTAACAATTTAACAAGGCTGTGAGAATTTGCTAGCAAAGGCCTTACAAATGTGGGCAGTGGCAGAGTTATGTTTTGGGAACAATCCTGATCTCTGCCCAGTGAGGACAAGATGAAGGCTTGCTGGAAAAGAAAGAACGCTGATAAGTGATGGGGGAGGGGAGGATGCACAGCATGGATGGGAGGAGACCTACTGCTCCCCGCAACTTCCCTCATTTTTTGCTTCTTGATCTGTAGTCCTAATGCGACCAGCCTCTCCTGTACCATACAGACTTAAGACACGGGGCTATCATTCTGCAGACCAGGGTTTTGCAATACAACTGGCACAGCTGCGGCTAGCAGCAGATAAGATGGCATCTTTTGTTTAGAACTTTCTCCGCATGAATCTGAACAGAGTTTAAATACCAAACACATAGGCAGCCGCACTCAGTTCTAAGCAGAATATACTGTATGAATTCTATTAATTAATGTCCTGCAGCAAACACCTGCTTTTCTTAGTGTCTGCCCCCACGAGGAATGCGGAGAAAAATAATCCGAATTATATACTCCCTCTTATGACTGTTGCTTTGGGAGGAAAAAAATCTTGTAAATAAATGCAAGTAGTTGCTCCTGTACCCTGGGGATAATGCTGAAAACAGGTTAGGATTATTCAGTGGAACTGCAATAAAATCTAAAGCCTACTCAGAATCTTTCTTTGGTACCAATCTTCAAAAGGGGTGCCTGTGTTAAGTCTCCTGATAGCAATAAAAATAAATAAATAACCCTGCTAGTTTTAAAGTTACCACAGATGACTTTCTTCTATCTCTTCTTTAAATATTTCAAGGTGTGACATCTGGAATGTTCCATGAAAGCTGAGCCTGAGACACAGCTGCAGTGAAGGAACCAATTTAGGACACCACGCTCAAAGAAATCAAGACACCCACAGTATAATGGTATTCTGCAAGTGTGTTTGCATTACACACACCAGAAGTGTCATCCATGGCCTTGCAAAGATGTCACTCAGGGTACCATCTGCTCCATCTGTCAAACTGTGGACAATGCCGTCATTCACTTAGTCAACGGGCACAACAAGAATGCAGCCATAGGACCTTTAAAGTGATCGTCATTTTTCCCACATCGTTATCAAAGTTATTTTATTCCAGTTATTACACGGGGACGGGCATGGCCTTCCAGCAATTAATGGGCAGCACAAGTCTCAGCAAAGAAAGTGGGCCTGCACATAAGAGTACCTCTGGGAGGCCTTGGAAAAGTTACTTCTTTGGAGCCCATCTCCCAGGATTTCCCTGCCTTGTTGTTGCTTTGTCCAAAAATGTAACTTTTCGAAGGTCTGAGCTCTGCATACAGACAGGTGCATTCATTCCCACGATACATGTGCTTCCTAAGGCAGGGGACGACAGTGGCCGGAGCACGTGTGTAAA